AGCTTTCCTTTCTGCAGAAGCAGATCAACTGCTCATGTTTAACATTCCATATCAGCCCACAGTGCTCAGCCTCACTGCCAGCCAGCACTGGCTGGAGGTACCATCTTTAGGTAAGACATACCCAAGGACTCGCACTTAGTAATCCTACTTTTTTCAATGATTATTATTTTAGGCTGCCTTTTCAATGATTATTATTTTAGGCTGCCTATTCACGCTCTTCTGAATGGGTATTATATTTAAAAACTACGTTTATATTTACAGTCATGCTATTCCAAAGTGCAGAAGTATTGGACAGCTTTCCAATTATGATTTGGTCCCTGGCCCTGCAGATTTAGCTGTGTTTCACTGCCAAGCTTGGCAACATCATTTGCTCAGGTCTGTACTTCATTTGAAGGGGTCAAGTGGGTTGAAAGGGACTATGTGGACAAATATAATAATCAAATCCTAAAAAAGCACTATAATAACTAAATGTTCCAGGATTCATGCAATCAGGGCTGGGCACTTCACTCCAAACTTTCAGGATGGTTTGTTTCAACAAAAAAAAAAAAACAACAGCACTATCAAAATTGATATTTGGACCTTAAAGAATCAACTCATTGGGAGAACAGGGAAGGGAATCTTTGAGCAATTTGTCACAGCCTTTTCCTTCGTTCCCTTTTCTTTCTTCCAATAATGACGTTTGAGCACTTTCGCTTCTCTTTTTAGCCCTGGAGACTTTTGTCTTTCTGTCATAATGGAGAAAGCTGACACTGCCTGGTTTGCAAAACAAAGGGTCAAATCATTTGTTTTCATGTGCTCAAGAAAGGCAGTCATGGCTTAATGTGATCAAACTGCATTTTCTTTTTAAGCTATGCTTTCAAATTTAGGGTTTCGTAACTGGTAGATCCATTAAAGTGTCCAAATCATAGAAGCCGAAGGAGAAAACAGATTTTTAAAGAGTCTGAATACTCCCTTTCCTTACTGCAGCAGTGGTGTGCTCCACCTCATCATCTTTTCATATCTGCCCTGGAACCCAGGAAGAAATCCATCTCCATGGAACCCAAAGATACAGGAGTACCAGACAGGAGGTTTCAATTCTGCAGGCACTCAGAGAGGACATTTTTAACCATCAAAACAGACAATGTTATTTCTCATATGGATTGAATACACTTTCTTTTACTTATGAACCGAGTTATTTATTCTGAGTCTGCTGTAATTCCCAAGATTCCACACCTACTCTTGTTAGTAGAAGCTATAACCAGTGACAAAACAAAAACGGAAGATTGCCACTGGGGCATCTCTTTTTCATAGAAATTCCCTTGAGTGCTTAATTGCCTCTTTTATCTTTTATTCTCATAGTATGAATTCTCATACAAAGCACTAAACAAAGTCAGATTTCTATTCAGCTAAAGGATTGGACAAATTTCCCCCAGTTAACAGATCTGACATGATTATCACATTGAGTGCTGTAGTGTCTGAATTCGTGCCCTGACAAGCAGAGTTCTTGCATTTTGCCTATCTTCCAGTTAACAGGAAGCATTAGTTTGAATTTTCTATCAAAAAATGGAATTATAATTGAGCACCAAAAACAAAAGGTCACAAAGGCCTGTTTGGAAACAAAAAGCTGATCTTTAGTAGCAGCAAATCTTTATGAGGAAGAAAGGAGAGAATCACAGGTAGCATCTGAAAAGGTAACCTTTTGTGCTCAAATTTCAGAGGCCTTGCTGAAAAGGTTTCTTGAATAGAAAAATATAACACAAGAAGTACACATAAATAATCACACATGTAAGTGACAACAAACATCAATAGATTAAAGCTTCCAAGTTAAAAAAGAAGGCGGGCTTTACATGAAAAGGAGGAAAAACTTCAAGCATACAGTCCCCATAAACTGTGCAAAGGTTATCCAATGAAGAGGGAAAAAGTGATCCGGATAATTCCTTCTCTGTGCAAAGAGAATGAATTAAAGGTTTTTTCCCATATTTATCAAGATAAGTCAAAATTATATCAAGCATCACATCCAAAGAATGAGACCACTTTTAAAGCACGACTTGCAAAAACAACTAAACCATACCCTTTAGATAAAGTATTTTATTTCTCCCTCAAAAATAAGTTACTTTCATTTGTTAATTACATTCTTCTACACAAAGTAACCCTTGTGTCTTCCTATTAGCTTCATACCTATCTTCAGGCACCAGTAACCCAGCCATTCACTGGAAACAAAAGCCCCTACAGTTCCAGCTTTCATTGGTGGTTTCTTTTTTCATTGGGCATAAGCCAGACATAAACTGTCTAAGGGGGGAAGCAACAGACACACATAAGCTACTATTTCTTTTCAATCCTCACACAAGACACCTGATACAAGCCAAGATGAAGAGAAATCCAAGGATTCAGTGTACAAGTATGGGAACCACAAGAGTGAAAGTTGGAGGGATGGCAGAAAAGGAAGGGGGAGGGTGGAAGTGCATTAACTTAGTCTCCAGCTAAAAGATCTCTCTCATTTTTCCCAGATTGCTGTTGTTACAGAGAGACCTGGATAGTTCAGGTCTTCTGTGTGTAAAGCACGCTGACTTTCACCTAATTTCAGGAAAAAGACTTTCCATCAAGAGAACTAACCACTGCTGGTGAGAAAACATTTCTTATTATCAACTTTAATACAGAAATGAGTTTTGTTTGATAAACATGTAGCAAGTAATATAAAACAGACAAATGATAACTGCTAAGAGATTAGTTAGCAAAACGTTTGTTCTGATGGATAGATAAAGGCAACATTTATGGTGCTGGCTGTCTTTTTTTATTTACTCAACCAACTATCATTGCAGAACATAACATCAAAGATTTAGAATACTGAATTCTGTTCAGTTGCATCTTTGTAAATTATCCCTCCAAAACCCTGTGGATTTTCATTATGATGATAATCAATTGTTTACGCTTCAGTTAAATAACTGTGTGACTTGAAGAGATTTGCACTTTGATTTTTTGTTAATATACCACGGAAGACAGAACTGATTCACTCATTCCATACTGATTTAGTGACATATTTGGTATGATTTCAAAGCCATAACTATTAATGCTTAAATGGAGTTTTGATATGATAGAAATGCTGTATTTTATTATTAACATTGGACAGGTAAACTAAAGCTGAGGATAGTCACTAAGCTTCACAGAGAGCTGCTATAAAAATTGATTTATCAGAAGTAAAGTAGTGGGGTATCATGATCTGATTTTGCTGACTGAAGTTAGTGGTTTGTACCAATGTGGGGGAAATTTGAATGGAATTCCTATTCTCACAAATTTCTGTTTCCAAGCTTACCTAAAAGTAGGAGTCTCTCCTTATGAAACACTGGGAACTGACATCTCTTTATTAGAATTCCATAATCTCCAAACATCATATTAATGTGCAGATTTACAAAGCCCCAAGGAGATGCTTTCTAAACTCAGTTAACAACATATAAGATGATCAAGCCTAAGGAGAAAATTATGTGAAACAAAGAATAGCTCTAGAGCTGTGATATAACATGGGGGAGAAAGAGAATGATGATGATCCAGATTGAGGAGGAAAAGTATTATAATTAATGAATTTATTATAACCCAATGACAATTCTCCAGAAATACAGAATTGCAGCAATATGGCGTACTTCATTTTTTCTGCTTTTGAAAGTGCATTTTTTTCTCCAGTTATTTGAACAGAATACTTTTCTTGTGCTGAGTTATTGAAATTTATTGAAAGCCTTTGAATTTGTTCATCAGAAATTAAACAGCTAACAGTGATGTTTGTAGTGTTGAGAATTTCACTAAAGCAAAGACAAAACCTACTGCACTTTCTATGCCTCTGCCGTAGGAAGCATGAATTCACTTTCACCAGCACTCAAGGCTGTAACTGCACACTGGATGTCACTTCTAAATTCAATGTGAAAAATTTGTCATAAATACAGGCTAATGTGCTTTAGAGGAAGATTTGAATTTTTGTGTGTTAAAGTCAAATGACTTTCTTGACAGGTCATCCTGGTAACTCCTATAGCTCAGTCTCTCATCCGGAGAGCATTTTAATCTGGTCTGTGATTCTCTGAAAAATGAATCTCCAGAGAATCAGCAAGCAATCTGGCTCAGTGATATCCTGGGCTATGTGCATTGCATTTTCTAATTCAGTGCAATCTGAAAACTGGAGTTTTAATTACCTGAATATTATTGCACTTGGCAAAAATTAGGTGTATTTGGCTTTGTGTTATCTTTCCTCAATTGTTAACTTTTGTTCTCTGACTTTCATCAAGAACAGAAGTTACTGAACTTCTTGGAGTGACTTTTATCAGGAAGAAAAGTAAACACCTTCAGAATACAAAAGCAGACTGGGACATGGGTGGGTTGGTTTTTTTAAGCAGGATTTGAGCTAGAAATCAATTTTTAAACGCCATGAAGAGAAAAACTGTTTGAGTTTTACTGTAAGAAACATCTGGAAATCAGAACATTTGTTTGAAATTTATCTCACTATTTTAACATTCTAGTTCACAAAATTAAGCTATCAATTTTTGTTAGCAATTTAAAATAATAATTTTATTAAGGGTTTTATTACAGCACATTTTTAGACCAAAAAACCTACTATATGTAAAATGCTGTTATGGTTTACAGTAATTAAAAATAAAAGGGCAAAAAAAAAAAAAAATAGTAGCACTGTCCTGAAATTTTCATGATCCTGTATTAAAATATTGTACTGCTTCATGAGGATGAAATGGTGGATGACCAAAAGTAGAAACTTTGTTCCCCTGATCACAGAGTAGAGAAAACTGTCTCTTGCCTCTGAAGTCTGATTGCTCTAAGCAGTGCTGCACAATAAGATTATCTATTTTTACTGCTCTAAAAAAAAACCAACAATAAAATGTTTGTAGCAATTACCCAAACTGTCCATAGCATAGACCATTAGAATGGCAAGTTGATTTACACTGCACTAGGTAATGAATCCACACAACTAAAGACGCTGCTTTGTTTTCCAGTTTCCTTGCACTGAAAAGGAACTTTTTAGAGAAATAATGCTCCATTCAACATTGGCTTTGTCTCTCCTGCTAATTGCAGTCTCATCCAACCTTGCTATGGCAATCAAAAAGGAAAGAAGAGCACCTCAGACATTATCAAGAGGTATTTTACGTAGTTACCTGCTGATCTTACCATGTATGTTATTTAAAGCATGTATGTGCTTACTGAGGCATGATTCTTCAGCATTCAGTCACACAATAAGTAGTGCATCTTTTTCCTCCCTCTCATTTCACTCCATCAGTTTGTTCTTAAGAATATGGCTGAAGGCTTCAGATAATCTTTCTAATTTATGTCAGTCACAGTGACCTGTTAGAATCAAATAACTCAAATTGAGTCTCTGGAACCTGGCTGCTCTTGAAGAACTCTCAGTGAAAAATATTTTTTCACACATCTGTTAGTAGACAGCTTGAGATGGTAACTTATAGCTACTGAAACAAAATTTCATAACTTCAGTCTCAAATGAAATTTTTTTCTACAGAGCCATTTTTGTCCACAGAGTAACAGTCTCAACCATTAGGGATATTTATTTATTTACTGACTGGTCCTTAATTTCCTTTTGTTTTCCCTCTTATCAGATAGTCACACTCACACTTCCTTAGTGGTGCATAATTTTCCACCTGGATGTTAAAGGAAGACTGTATTTTAACATTTTTATGTCTGAACAAGGAAATTGTATAGAAAAATAGCTCTTTCCATCTTCTCAGCCTTCCTTCTCTTTTCACACCTAATCACCTCAGAATATCTCCAGCTGTTTCCCTGAGCTCCCCTGCAACTTGTGCAAAGCCTACAAAGTATCCATGGCTCACCTCTGAGTTCCTCCCACATGAAGCCTTGGCAAAGCCCTGCATTCACAAAAGCCCCATCTGAGGCCAGTTACTTGAGGGGTGTTTAGGCAGCATTGAAACAGATCAGTTGTAGGAAGTATAGTTTTAGTGAAGTTTGAAATTATTCCATATTACATATATATATATATATATATATATATAAAATAACAGGGAAATCAAAAGGCTTCATAAAATAGCAAAAACAAGAATAAGTGCTTTTCCATATGAAACCCATTGTATATACAATATAAAATTGTCTCACCCCTAGACAAAACAAAGAGAAGTGTCAAATCACTTTCCACAAGCGGTACCCGTGGAGAAAGTTTATATCCAGTCTGGCATCTATTGCCTGTCTTGACTAGATCAGAATTAATTTTTCCCACTCAGAACATTACCTCCTATTATAACAGATTGAGAGGGAATACTTAATCCTGCTGTAAAATGAACCCAACTGACTCCTCTCTGCCATTGTCTACGTCAACAGTTGATTTCAGCCAGGGAACCCACTGGTCAAACAAGCTAGAACCCCATCAAAAATCAGACAGATGTGAAAATGAAATAAGTCTTCTGAAAGAAGGGATGGTCTATAGCATCCCAGTCAAATGCCCCACTGACAAGAAGATGGGGAGCTACTTCACAGGGGCTGGCATCTTTGGGATTTGAAGGCACGAAACCAACAAGACAATCTGCTTTTTGAGTTCAACGGATGAGCAGTGAAGACTCATTAGGATTTTATTTTGATGGAGATTTTTATCTAACAGCCTTTCTTTAACTAAATTATTTAATTAACTGAAGTACTTGCAACTCCAGAGACTGAAATTCTTAACTCAGGAGTCAGGCTTAAAACTCTTTTAAGAACAGTCACGTTAAAATTGATTTTATTTCATTTGTTGTATTAAATTTTCACTCTCACTTTTTTGAGCCAGCTTTCTCTTTAAGCCCCCAGCATCGAAATGAAATACAGAGCAGACAACATGAAGAGAAAATATGAAGGTATAAAGAATTTTGTCACCAATTTAGGGAGCACTAAGTATTCAGAAAGAGTTCTATTGAGTGTATCAAAGGACTTGCACTGGGTAGTCAGTCAGCTGAGGTATTTTGATTGTTTTTGCTTGTTTTGTTGGTTTATTTTTTAATATTCTGATACATTTATTAGCAGATGTAGGATTAATATATCTACAATGCTTGGTAAGCTTTGAACAAAAATCTATTTGTGTACAGCTATTGACCAAGGTAAGAAATGTAGTTTCTTATGAATTACTTACCTAGCCAAGTATTAATCATTTTATTATATTTGTAGGTTGGGGAGATGAAATAACATGGGTACAAACTTATGAAGAAGGGCTTTATCAAGCAAAAAGAAGGTAAGAAATTAAAAAATAGTATTGAAAGACACTTTTATTAATTACATTGTCACCCCTCAATATACTGTAATGAAATAAAAAAAAAAAACAAAAAAAACACCATCACAGCAGACCACTCTACCATTCTTGTAGACTTTTACTTTAGAAAAGCTATCTAGATGCAGGAACTCCACTTCTCTATTTCTTTCTCTAGCATCCCTTTTTTCTTGCACAGAAATGTCTATCATCCCTCACAGAATGCCTGTTAGGTTTCAATGAGATTTAACAGGAAATGAAATGCAATTTGTCTTTTCCAACCTACTAGCAAAATCACTTATTTTCATTCTTTTCAAATAAACTAACTACATGTTTTATTATTATTAATAAAGTAACAAGCCACTGATGGTCATTCATCATTTGGAAGACTGTCAATACTGCCAAGGTAATTTTGATTTTTTCAGTGTTAAATTTTTGTAAACATCTTTTTAAGAAAACACAACTATTTATATATTTGTTGAATTTACTCAAAATTCCTTAAGTAAGTGCATGAAACTGTAGTTGAAAAGCTAAGAATTTGTTATTTACAAAAAAGTCATTGTGAATCTACTCAAAAAATGAACATGAAAAATGTTTAGTGCTACTGTCCTGCTATCTCTGATTAAACACCTGTCGGTTTAAAGACAAATATTTGCTACTGACTCATCAAACACATTTAACAATGCTTGGCTTTCCTGAAATGATAACTTGAGAAGGAGATAAGGACAAGATAACTGAAACTGAATTTTCTGAGAATAATGCACTTTTGTCAAACTGAGACATTATCTGCTGAAACTACAGGCTTCGTAAATGACAGAAAAGAGCTTCCATTTTCATAGCTAGAAGGTTGCACTGACACAGATCAAAAACCATAAAGCCATGATAGATCCCAAAAGTGTCTCCTAGGAATGTAAATGAGCAGAGGCAGGAATGATGGGACCAGTCTTCGGTGCCTAAACACTGTAGGAAAGGCAACATCTACAATGGACTTAAAAATATTCCTGTCTTTTCTAGCACTGAAGAAAGCTTTTGCTGAAAATGAAGAGATACAAGAAATGGCCCAAGATAGTTTCATTATGCTGAATCTCATGGTAAGAAGGGTTTGGGGAGGTTTGTATGGTAGCTCTTTTTGGTCTGTGTTTTCTTGTCTTACTTTTTCATATTTTAGCTAAGTATATCTGGCATTTCAGTTAAACATATTTACATAGATGGCTCTTAAAGTAATGCCTCCCATTTTTTTCCATGGAAATTACAACAATACAAAAGGTACAATTACACTGTTTGATAAAGCAAATTCTCAGCTAAAAACAACTATTTCTCAACGTAGTCACCACCATTAGCCATGCATTTTCACGAGCAATAAACAAGAGCCTGCATGCCACAGCCATAAAAATCTGCATGGCTATCCAGACCATTGCTTGTCTTTCATACTTTTGTTGCCACTGCTGAAACACACCACCTGATGCCTCACTGTGCTCACATCCACTGTTTTTGTCCATAACAGTTCAGCAGGTGTTAATTAATGTCAAGAGGTGTAATTTTTTCTGCATGGAACACACCTTTGCCTCTCATGCACTTCTCAACAGATGCCATTCTGTCAGACTGTCTCTACTGCCATCTGTTGCAACAAAATGTAATGGAACACTGGTACGAAGGTTTAGCTTCTACTGCCACATCACCAGCATCCATCTTTGATGTCATGGACCAACACAATAAAATAGGAAGCATTACTTTCAGAGCAGCCCTCATATATGCATTTATGTGTGTATGTACCCCTTCTGTATTTTTGTCTCTGGTATAAGACTGTTCACAAGTGATGCTACTTCAGCTAAATTTATAGGAATAATTTAATAATTAGCTTAAATTTCTCTGCCAGCATGAAACCACAGATAAAAACCTGTCACCTGATGGACAATACGTGCCTCGAATCATGTTCATAGGTATGTACAGTACTTATGAATCTTCTGAAGATGTGATCTCTGAATCTATGCCAGTGTCATTCTCCAGAAACATCGAGACAAATTATTTTGCAAAAAGAAAATAGCTCAGAATTTGTCTTTACCATGGCAATAGTATGGAATTTGGCACACCTGAGTTCAGTTCTCATTCTGTCACAGGCTTCAGCCCCTGTAAACTTCCTCAGGTTATAGGTATGTTCTGAAGGGTACCTCATTTGCATTTGGGAGCAATGTGCTTAAATATCTGTTAGCATCTGGGCATCTGTCAGCCCCTGTTAGCTCTCTGTGCTTTTGCAAGTGCAGTTAGGAACAAAGCTTAGACAGAGCTGTCAAATATCAGACTGAATGTATACATCTACAGTGCAGACCTTACCACAGAGCAAGTCAACAATCAACAGAATTTAAGCAATGATCTACTGCATTGTAAAGTTGACTTCTGAAATATATCAAGAAATCATGCCCCACAATTCATGTTCCCTTTCACTGACTGTGCAGGCATCAAAAGTAGGTGAGATGAAGCCCCTGCTCAGAGCAAGGTAGTAAAAGAAGTCAGGTGATTAGTTAACAGAAAGCCCAGAAGGGGAACCAGTTCAGTATTTATAACCATTTTCTCCTGTAATGGAAACAGTAAGAATCACAAGACCTTAGTCTTGGTCTCTAGGTAACATGATAATGTTACATTAATTATGCATGACCCTTAATATTCGTGCATCCAGTCAGACTGCCTCTCCCAGAGTAACCCCAGAACTTGTAAAACAGGATGGTTTTCTTCAAGTATGGACAAAACATATGTGTAATCAATCTCTTAAAAATAGCCATGAAATATAAAACTGAGCATTAGCTTTTGTTTAAGATTTCTCCACATAAAAAACAGTTGGTTGGAACAGAGCGTAACAGCCTCGCACTTTGTGGCTGGCAAAATCAGAACTTCTCAAAAGCAGGGCTGTGCTATGGGCATCGCCCTCCGCTGTTGTGGAAAGCAGCGATTAACACAGTTTCTTTTTCAGACCCATCTCTCACGGTGAGAGCTGATATCACAGGAAGATACTCTAATCGGCTGTACACTTATGAACCACAAGACATACCATTCTGTAAGTGCCTGTTTTGTTGTGTTACTCTGCATTTCGTACTGTAAGCAGCCAGATGCACACCATGCCAATCGTCTGTGTTTGAGAATCAGTTAAGATCTCGAAGTAATGAATAAAGAATGTTTGCGAGCACTTAACAGTAATTTACAGCGTCTAACCTGTTCTAGCAAACACTTAAGCACATCTATTGTCCCAATGGATTTACTGGGTCTACTCAGGTGATATGAGTTGAAAGATCACGGATGAGAAATTTCAGGACAAAGACCTGAGCTGTTTGCTGGTGAATGGTGAGAGTCACTGTGCTCAAAGGTATCCAACTATGCAATGTTAATAGGCAGAGGTGGGAGGGGACTGGGAAAAAAAAAAAAAAAAAAGCTTGTTACCCATATTTCAAAAAGGAATGTGATTTTTCAGGTTGAACTAGTACTCTGTACCTTTATCTGAAGCCCATGCAGTATCTCACATCAAATATGCATGTCACATCTGATTATCACGATTGCTGAAGCAAAAGGGATTCGACAATACTCAACTCCTTACGTTTTGATTCACAACACTTTTTGCCTTCAGCTTTAGTATCGATGCCGGAATATTTACATAGGAACCACTAAAATACATAATCCTGCATTAATTTCAACGTGAAGAATGTACTAATCAAAATGCATTGAGTATATTTTACAGTTACTTATTTTTCTTTCAGTAATAGAGAACATGAAGAAAGCACTACGCCTCATTCAGACAGAATTGTAAGCAACAGTGAAATGTTCATAGCCTCTAGAAGGTGAAGCTGCGCCAAGAATTCCAACATTTTAAAGCGTTTATTTAGCTTCTTTCTCTGCTATCTCTTTGAACTCTTACCAACCAGGTAAACCAGATTTCATGAGAAAATATGATTTGAAGAGGAAATAAAGGAGGTTACCATTACAATTTGGGAAACAGAGAAGAAATCTATCAAACACTTTGAAGTGGAGTTAGCTACCTGAATAACTGAAAGTGATGGTTTAAGGAGGAAGCAACTTTGAGCTGTATATTATCAATTGAACAGTAGCTTTATTGTCAGCTACAACTTCCAATCAAGAGCTATAGCCAATACTTGATGTCTATTTACAATACAATGATGTAAGTTATTAGCTACGTCTCACCTCCAATTTTTTATTTCATGTAGCTTGTAAATCTTTAGTATGACACAATTTTATGTGCTTATTTCTCATTAAAGGAATATTGCTGGCAAATCAGACGGAAGGCTTTTGCTGTAGATTTTGGAATACCTAATAGAGAAAAAAAACTCAGATCTAGGGTTTGCTTTCTTCTGTATCACTCTTTAGTTATTATTCTGATAGCTGAAAACAGAACATATTTCTTGCTGAACATGGGGTTTCTGTGAGGTGATAGTCATCAAATAGCAACTACAGGTTTTGCCATGATAAAAATGCAGTGACGCAAGAGAGATGGAAGGAGATAATCCTGGAACTCCACACCTGAGGCTAGTCATGCTTGTAAAGTCTGGTATGGGAAAAATTAGTAGGCTTTTCCTAGCCCTTTTCTTTTAAATGGCACTTTCAAAGGGTCCTTCCTTCTGTAGCTCCCAATACAAACATCATAGTGGAAGCATGGTGAGGGAATCTGCATATACAAACTCTTTTACACAAAGTCTCCCAAGATCACCATATGGAAGAGTAGACATCTATTTTATGTAACAAGATTGAGTTAGCGGAAATATTTTCCTATGCCTATGATAGGCTCCTTCACTACAGCAAAGTCGTAAGTCATCCATCTGGAGAAAGAGCAACAATGTGATGTTCTGTGCGAGGCACAAGTGTCACTTATCTCTGTTACCTGCCATTTCCTCTGATGTCACCTAAACGCATGTATGAAATGTGAAGGATAATCCTCTGCAGGACAACTATAGTAACTTACAATACTGAGTATTAATGTGTCATAAAAGAAATATATTGCACCTGTTTTCATAGCTATGTGAAATTTGGATGTGTACTCCAACAGAGGGTGACAAATGACCTGTGGAACAAATAATAAAAGAAAAAATATATATTCGTCTTAGCAGTATATTTTCTTGATAATCAAGGGAAAATGCTGGAAACAAAATTAAACTAGTAATTACATCCCCTCTGTGTTTATCTCATTTACATTCATATCTATTCCAGATTTGACAACACTTCCCAGACTTGTGGGCACTCCCTATCTTAAGCATGTCAGAGATGTTCAGGAGAAAAGGATGGAGCAACCTGCCAGAGATGACACAGGATAGCTGTGGCAGCATTCGTAAAACAGGGTCAAGAGAAGATTTACTTTGGAGAGAAGCACAGGACAGAACAACTTCTGAAACACTGAAGTATGGTAGATTCAGAATATAAACAAAAAGTAGGCAGACAGTTCTTATTCTTTTGCAGATTTTTTCTCTCTTTGCTTTCAAAATTATTGGATGAGGTCATGAAAAACACTGACTTGAATCAACTCCTGTTCTAACTTGGGTAGGAAATAAAATGTGAGCTATTTATTCTATAAGGCAGTGCCTCCTTCACCTATTTAAGGTCCAGAATATGAAGGTTCCAGGCTCTAGGTGGATATTTAAGGGAAGACTGCATTTGTGCTCCATTAGCTTTCCAGTGTAGGAAGGGAAGCATCACATATAAAAAAGCAAAAGAATACGAATATGCTGAGGGCTCCTTTGGGATTGTACAGTGGATGAGCATTTTAACTCATTTCCCATTTGAAGACGAAACAAATGCACATAACTGTGGCCTGAATTTGAGCTGATAGCTGGCCACTGATTGGACTCAAATTACATTACTATACTAAGGAGAGGGAACACACAGCATACACAGGCACACAACACAGTAACTCAGCAGTCACGATTCAGTGGGACCATTTAGTTGAAATCATAACTGAGCTGCTTTTAGAGAATTCTTCATCACAGGCTTAAATGAAAATGTGATTTCTCTCCTTTCACTTCTCAGATCCTTATAGGTATCAGGCTGAAATCTGTTCTCAGTTGTAGCCTCAAGAAATGGGACTAAATCCTTGTGATATTTAAAGATTCAGATCCAGTCCTTTTGGTGGAGCTAGATATTCAGGTAGAAAACACTGTGGATGTTGTACAATACTTTCTGTGTTCACGGCTTAGCTTAACATTCATCCTCAATTTGACAGTTGCTACTATATCTCTGCCCTCTCATCTTCGCTAGGTAATATTTCTCCTGATGGAACATAAACACAGACCTCAGATTAAATTCTTTCTGGTCAGGAACAAGATAATATATTTGTAGCCTGTGCAACAGCAGACCCAACATTATTCTTTCCTCCTTTTTTCTTCTCAAGTGAGTGGCATGAGATGCTATTCCCTTCTCTGTTGGCATGCAACAACAGTCACAAAAATAGTGGGCAGATCTTTATTCACATGCTTTGCTTACATCTCTTCATATTCATTGGAAAAATGTTCCTTTTGTTTCTTGGTCAACTGGATCTACAACAACCAGCTTTATTTAACTACTGCTGTTCAGCTTCGAGGTAAAGAAGGAGAGGAAAAGACAGGAAACTTCTGTGTGAGAGCAGCAGCTATTTTTACAAAGAACCATTCAGTTATTATATAAGGATCTAATGCTGTGAAAGCCTACCTGTGTAGATTACGTACTCTACAGAATTCTGATGTTGTATTCTACACCTATGGATCCCAGTAGTAACATATTTACATTATGGAAGCAAATGTTTTGTGTAAAATTCTTCTGGCTTCTCCCTTTACTACGACCACAATACATTCTGGAAAACAAACTCTATTGCCACCTGCTCACATATTCATACCTATTTCACTGTTGGGAGTTATCTGTTGTAATCAGACAAAGCGTAGTCAAACAAACGTGGACTTAACGTCAGAGAGGCGAGGCACAAGAATCTGGAAGCCTACAGAACAGGATCCTCCCTCTATGTATCCGTCTCAAAGCAGAAAGGTGTGGGCTTTTCTAGGCAGATGGCTGATGTATTGGTCTGCAGAGCTAAAACATTTCCCAGTGTGCAAATATTTGCAGTGGACCAGAACAAAAGAAAAGCCATCATACCTTTATGTACCATGGAGACGAGAGACTGTAGGACACCTCAGCACTTAAACAGCAAAAGAAATGTGATCTTGCAAAATAAAGCCAATGTACTTTGGACTGTTTCATGTATTACACGTGTTCTTGCCAAAGTCTGACACAGAGAAATTTCCAAACGCTGAGGTGTCTTCCACACATTCAGCCAAGTCATTGCTGTGCTTCCATTTCTTTTTTCCCTTGCTTTCTATAGTGTCATAGTATAAGTGAAAAGGAGACAAAATCTCCACGGAAATTCATAAGTTCATTAACACGAATGAGACATGGAGGAATATTTGTTCTTCCATGACTAAATCTCAGAATTAACAATTTAAATATTCATACCTTTTCCTTGCTGTTCAGGGTGCTCATGGTACTCATCACTTACCATCTCAGATTCTTCTGTTCAAACACTCATATCAAGAACTGCATTTCCAAATTTCCATGTAATTCCAATTCCAATTATCCTTAAATAGTTGTTCATCAAATCAACTCTTGTCTATAAATGAGCAGTAGGAAAGAGAGAAGGTGTCATACGTAAAAATTTTTTCAAGAATATAATGCTCAAGACAGCTTTCCTCCATATTTGTTTTTCTGTGCTTAGACTTGGTTTTTGCCTCGGGACAGAGACTAACAATACTTTTAAAAGATCAATCATATCTTCTGATAATTTTCCATGCATACTGAGGGTCACTCACTACTGCTTTGCATGCCCTATCTGCCAGAGCTGTGATTTTCACACGGTTCTAAAATATTTCTACAAGCAAATCATGGAACTGGTATCCACCACTTCATTTGGAATACAATTCCGCATACAGTATACCTTGTCACTATCAAATATTCTCACACATACATGCTCCTGAGGAGTAACTTTAACCAAATTGGAATAACCATTCCATTATGGCCTAAGTGACTTTAGTTCTCATTAATTCATATAGTCTTGTCCTTAATAAGAAGTGACAAAAATGCCTACATCACCTGAATAACCTCTCACAGACTTCGATGACTTCACAGAATCAGCCCAGCAGTTTCACTAGATCTGGAAACCTGATCTTTACTTAAATTGGAAGAATGCCCTTTCTTATTTACTAACTAAATTAATACATAGAAAACCTCATTCCAGTGAAAACGTATTTCAGGTTGTTTAGCTTTCTTCATCTAAGATATGGGATATGGAAGAATTCCTCTAAACAGAAGGAAAGCTTTAGAGACTGTTTTGTTGTTTCTTATTTTGAAGAGTCAAGAAACAACATTGTTGATGTCTAGTGAAGATTTTGAATAAGTAGTTTTCATGATATATTTCCAGAATACTACAGTGCGAATAAGCACCCCAGGTACTTACATGGTATCCACTACATTAACACTAGCATTGCTCTCACGGATTCCTCAAGGCTGCCTTTCCTGACCAAATGTGTTGACTGCATAGGCGGTAAGCTGAACTTGTACCACCCCAAGTACAGCTACAGGGCATCCCTGAAGGACAAAGGACTAGACAGCTTAAACATTAGGCATGGCTGTTGTCCACAGACTGGTATGCCTGAACGTTCCCAATGGTAAGTGAGTAGCATTCAAGAGACCTACGGAACTTTTAGTTATTTACCTTGAAAAGAGTTCCAAGAGCCAAGGATGTTTAGTTATCCAAGCTTTTGTATACAAGGAACTAAAACACAGGCAGGTTAAGACCACACAAAGGGCATGTAGCAGGG